TCCAACCCCTCCTGGGGCTCCCACCTGGAAACAGTCAACTAGGCTACCAAGAGCCCAGCCCAGTCCCCCTTCTCTGTCGGGCCATGCTTCAGCTCCCTCAGGGGGACCTGCCAGGCCAATGTGGCCCAGAGCCAGGTGATATATACACACACATACCACCCCCACCCCCTCCCGTGTCTCCTGTCCAAAGAGCAAAACACAGAGAGTCAAACTGAATTTGGCAAGATGTCCCAGTGCCCTGTCCTGGGTGCACACTAGAGATCCACACCATTCCTGAGGGCAAGGAGGGGACCCCAAAATGACACACTCTGTCAGAGGGGGGCACACGCAAAGTGAAGGCCAGATGACCAGGAGGGCGTCCCTGAGTGCAGGCCATTTGGACTGAGTGTCTTGGGGGCGGGGTGGGGGGACCATATCGAGCTGAGAGAGGGGAGGGAGCAGCCAGAGCCAGCACACTGCCGAGTGGGAGGCGGGGAGGGAGAAGTCTGCTGGAAGACAGGGCTGTGGACGAGCTCTTTGAGGCCAGACTGACATCGGAAGGAACTGAGCCATTGCCCTTCCACCTGCACAGCCTTCTGAGGACCAGAACCTTGTCCCCAGGGAGACACCACTGAACCCATAGCCTTCTTGCCTTCATCATCTCCCCTCCCCCCACAGTGCCAGCCGCCCTGACCCTGGACCCAGGCACTGCCCACCAACGTCTGATCCTGTCTGATGACTGCACCATTGTGGCCTACGGCAACCTGCACCCCCAGCCGCTGCAGGACTCGCCAAAGCGCTTCGACGTGGAGGTGTCGGTGCTTGGCTCCGAGGCCTTCAGCGGTGGGGTGCACTACTGGGAGGTGGTGGTGGCGGAGAAGACTCAGTGGGTGATCGGGCTGGCCCATGAGGCCGCCAGCCGCAAGGGCAGCATCCAGATCCAGCCCAGCCGGGGCTTCTACTGCATCGTCATGCACGACGGCAACCAGTACAGCGCCTGCACAGAGCCGTGGACCCGGCTCAACGTCCGTGACAAGCTCGACAAGGTGGGCGTCTTCCTGGACTACGACCAGGGCCTGCTCACCTTCTACAACGCCGACGACATGTCCTGGCTCTACACCTTCCGCGAAAAGTTCCCAGGCAAGCTCTGCTCCTACTTCAGCCCCGGCCAGAGTCACGCCAACGGCAAGAACGTGCAGCCGCTGCGGATCAACACCATCCGCATCTAGTGTGGCCAGCACAAGCGCTGCCCACCTGGGGCTGTGGCCACCCACCAGCAAGAGCCCGGCCCAGGAGGCGAGAGGCCTGGGGTCTCTCCTGGCTTGGCCTCCCGGAGACACAAGCCAGTGCACCCGTCAGCCTCCGTGTCCCTATCTGTACACTGGAGCGGGCACCCACAGTCCCTAACTAAGCTCGTTTCCAGCACTGATGTTCCCTGTCTCCCTGACCTTGATGGGGACCCAGTCTTTGGTCCAAGGATGTGAATTGTCAACCCCTGCCTGACCTTCATCCCCTTCCTCTCGAGCCAGGGAGCTACCTCCTCCGTTTCCCTCCAGCCCAGGTGCCGTGGACTCAGGATATGCCAAGGTATTGCCAGCAGGTGGCAGCTCTGCAGAGACACGCAACTTGTCTCTGCTCCCTGGCCTATGACTTGCCCCTGGCCAGACGGATGATGGGCTTTTGGGCCTTTGAGTTCTGCCAACAGAACTCCGTTCTAGGACTTCCTGAGAACCGCCCTCCCGACATCCCTCACCACACGCACCACATGGTTCCTGCTTGCCCCACTGATCTGCAGGTCACCGGTGCCACCGTGAGGGGGTGCTGACCTGCAGAAGGCGGCTCGTAGTTGGACACACATGCAACAGTCGCCGTGCCACCTTCCTGCCCACAGACCTAAAGATGGGCAAGGGCACCCCTCTCCCCACCCCACAGGCTGACACAGCCCATTTCCCTAAGGGCACCTGCAGGATGAGTACCACTGGGTGACCCGAGTCCCCAGAACCTGGAAACCAGAGTGCAGCCAGCCCTCAGCAGCGGGGCCTCTGTGCCCAGGCCAGCACGCAAGGAGGCTGCTGGGAGCATTTGTTTGAGTGAGCCTGGGCCTGGCGAGTCCCCTCCTCAGACAGTAGGGCTCTGTTGCCGACAACAGGAGCCCCTTCAGCTAGCCTCAACAAAGGATTCCTTTTCAGGTCCCCGGAGACTTAGCAAATCAGTAGAAGGGCTGCAGGAGTCAGCTCTCTGGTGCATTTCCAGGAACAACTCCCAGCCCCCCCCGACTCACGAAGCCTCTATTGTGACCAGGACAGCTGCTCCCACCTGCAGGAAGCCACTGCCCCCCGGAAGCTGCCGGCTGCAGACCCGCTGCCTCTGCTGCTGTCCGTGCCATGGCAGCAAATGGATGTCCCCAGACTGGCCTCTGCCTCCACTGAACTCTGTTCCCAGGGATTCAGCATGGGGAAACCTCATTCAGATCCCGAACCTTCACTGCAGGGAAGTCTGGGGAATGTAGTATCTCCCTTGCCAGGCTCCGCAGCACAAGACCCGAGCTAGAAGGGGGTCTGAGCAAGGGCGTCCTTGCCGTCCGCTGCAGCACCCAGCATACAGAGTCCACCTCTCAGCGTGGACTTTGGGGCGGCAGACTCTCGGGTGTCCTGCCCTGGGGCTCTGTCCCTGCCCACGATCAGGAACCTGCGGAATTCAGGACCAAGCCAAAATACCTCCTCAGCCTTGGCCTTTCTTTCTGGTCGTGGGGCCTGGGTTCTGCATTTAAAGTCTCTGCCCATGTCAACGCCGAGAGAATCGCTGGCCCACCTCACTGCTGTCCCCTGGGGCCTCACCTGGGCAAGTGGAGCCCTCACCCCACCCCTTTAAGCTACCATGTCTCTGGACCACTCCCATGGATTTTTTTTTTTTAATTTAAAATGTCACCCATTTTGTGAGTTAAGAATGAATTTGTATTAAAGTTACACGATGCGTGGTCATCCTGTTCATTTTGACGTGCACAAAGGGCCTAGAGAGTGCACACGCATGAGCGTGACTTAGGCCCACAGGACCCCTGCCAGGTGAATGCTACCGTGCCCAGCCCACAGAGAAAGAGAAATGGGGTTCTGAGAAGGGGACTTGTTACGAGCCTAGCTTCCACTGTGGTGAGAGGGGGGCGGGGGTGTTGATAGTCTTGGGAGCAGGCAAGGACATTAGGCAGTCATAAGACGGGACTCTGGAGCCGCACAGACCTGAGTTCGAAGCCAGATCCCATCACCATGTGGCTTTAGCGAGAAAGACTGGCCCTGTCTAGGTGTCAGTTTTGTGTCTGAAAAGCAGGATCAGATCCGCCTCCTGGGATTTGGTAGTAAGCGTCACATGCAGCACTTCGGCTGCTTCCCCGAGTCTTGCCTGGAGCCATTAGGTTTTCTGAACCCCTGAGCTGGTTCAGAGCCTATCCTGCCAGGGTCTCAGGACGAGCTGGCCTAGGAGGCCTGTCGGCGATGGTTGGTCCATAGCTGCTGAGGGGATGGTGCGGGGCCGGGTGGCATTTCGTTGCAGCGTGCAGCGGTCGCCATGCGCTGTGGGCCTCCTGATGGCAGCTGGCAACACGGCGCACTGGTGATTCCGTGGTAGAACTCTCACCTCCAGTCGGGAGGCCTGGCCTCCGAGCAGCCACCACTCACCTGGGAGCGTGGGCTTGCATGTTGCTATGACAATGCGGGGGCGGGGCTTCCAGCCCAAGGCGAAGGAAGACCTCATGGTTGACTTCCAAAGGTCTGCGAGTGAGGACCCTGTGGGTCACAGGTGCTGTTTCCCCTGTGATTCAATGGCAGCTACCAGGAGCGCCCCCACATCTGCTGTGTGGAAGGGGGTCCCTCCGGCCTCTGACGGATGGGGTGGCAGCCCGGTGGGGAGCTCGGTGACTCGACGTGCTCCATGACACCTGGTGGACCTTTGCCTATGGTCTAGGGACCGAGCAAGGGCAACAGCCCGAGGCCTTGACTTGTCTGGAGTCCTCAGAGGGGGCATGAACAAGGACGGGGCAGGAGGGCTCTCCAGTTGGCTGATGGAGGGCCCGAGGGTTACAGAGGGGCAATGGGGAGACTAGGGTCTCCCCACGATCCTGCTGTGCACTCGGTTCCCTGCAAGGCACCCGCCCCACACGCACTGCTGCTCCCCAAGATGAGTGACGTCATTTCTATCTTTCAGGCCCACCGAGCAGTTACAAGACACACTAGACCAGTGGTTCTCAACCTTCCTAATGCCGCAACCCTTTAATACACTTCCTCCTGTTGTGATCCCGTACTGTGGGCGTATCTGCAATGTGGGCAGACCCTCCTGGAGACAGAGGAGCAGTGTCTCGGTTCCTAAGGCCATCGGAAACAGGGTCTTACGCAACCCCTGTGAAAGGGTCAACCCCTGTGAAAGGGTCGTTTGACCCCCAAAGGGGCCTCAACCCATAGGTTGAGAACCGCTGCACTAGAAGGAAGTTAGACCGAATGTTAATTAAGCTCAGGGGACTGGGTCTTCTTGCCCTCGGGGGTGAACCCCCAAGTCCTCCCTGCCCTTTCCCCCTCCACCTGATTGCCAGACCCAAGAAGAAGTGATGGCCAGGAGGTGGCGTCCAGAGAACTCCTGCCTGCAAGCACCTGGGCTTGATAGATGCCCGGAAGCTCACATTTAATGCAGCAAAGAGGGGAGAGGGAGGTGGCCCAGCCCCAGAGAGCAGACCGGGATCCGCAGGGATCTGACAGTTCAAAAGACAGGCGCCTCCTGCCTCATCCCTGTGTGTGGCCACCAGAGTCCCACCTCTTTTGTGCCTTATCTAACCACCCAGACAGCCCACGAGGCTGCTCTCATTATCTGTGCCTGCGTGGCTCCCCAGAGGACCCACAGCCAGGCCTGGGTCCCAGCGGGTACTGGGAACCAGCCTTCTCAGCACCTAATAAGGCGTTAGCTCCCGCCCTTCCCTCCAGGGTGGCAGCAGGGACAGAAAACAACAGGGAGAAGGGTGCCTGGCAGCACAGAGCTTGGCTCTGGTGCTCAGGGACAGGTCTCTCCCTTGCTAAAGAGCCCATCCCGGAGGACTGACTGCTCACACCTGGGCAACATCCCCCTCCCTCCACCCACCTACCTGGCCCTCCCCCTTGCCACCACTGCAGGTGAGCCACCAAGAGAAGGCAGGTGCAAAGGCTCAGTTCAGGAGGGGCCGGGTGGGAGAATGTCTCCTTGCTCTGGGACCCCGAAGATTCTACCCAGTCGTCCCCCCGCCCGCCCCCCCGGGAGTCCTAAGCCACGTCAGGAGGTGGGATTGCCAGGAGGTAGGGCAGGAACAGGTTGATAGACTGATAGACGGGCACCAACAGATCCTGGCAGGCGGCAAAGGCCTCAGGAAGCAGCAGGGTCGGGCTCACTCTTCGTTCTTTTCTAACCGCAGAATCACTTGTGGGCTGGTTGGTTTTCAAGCCGAGATAATGACTAGATCAAACAGTCATTTTGCCCGCTGTCAGAAATCCGACAGTTCTACTCTGTTCCTGAGCCTTACAAAACGTGCACCACCACTCCATGCCCCCCACCACACATGCTCTCTCTCTCTTTCTCTCTCTCACTCACTCGCTCGCTCGCTCCCCCTTGGGGATTTAGTGCCGTGAGGGAGGGTCAACACTTTGGAACACCCTGATGTCATGAGGGATGTGGTCATGAGCTGCTCAAGGGGCTGGAGGCAGAGCAAGAGGCCCAGATCCCAGTGAGCACCCCGGAGCCTTGAACCTCAAGGTGCCCCGTCAAGGAGGGCTTTCCGGTGCGCACCCCAAGCCCAGGAAGGGTGAAATTCTAGCTCAAGGCCATGCTGAGCTGTGGCTGAGCTGTGACCCCAGCCCAGTGTCCTAGGTCCCAGGCAGCAAGCAGGGGTGATGCAGTGACCAGCAGAGGGGCTCAGCCAGGCAAGGCTAAGGGCAAGGGCAGGCGGGCTGAGGAGGGGAGGGCTCTGGGGAGAAGGGCCCTGAAGGCCCAAGGGAAGGGCAGGGGGTAGGGGGCTGGGTGCCTGTTGGAGTCAGGACCGCAGCTCCTCAGAGAGGAGAAAGGAGTGGGGGGTGAAGAAGTCTCTCCCAGGAAGGAACCTCAACCCAGCTGGGCCTGTCCGGTCAAGTGGACAGACCACCCATCTCCACCCTGTCCATTTCCACAGGAGAAAAGTAACCGGCCCATGGGAAGCCACTGGCCCATGGTCACCAATCAGGTAGCTCAAAGCCAGGCCCAGACCCAGATCCCCTGACTCACAGCCACTGGCTCTGTTCATACCACCTCCAGCCTCCCCCTGTGGGTTCTGGTGTCTCCTCCCATCCCTTGGGAGCCTGGAGCCTGAGCAGAAGGAGAAGGGGAGTGCTGGGGGCCCCACAGTCCAGGCACCGAGAGCTGGGTGCCTTCCTCCTCCTCCCCAACGAAAGGGGAGAATTGGCCTGGGTCTCTCCTCTGGAGAAAGCAAGTCAGCGCCTCGCCACACCGGGTCCCTCCTGCTGACAACAGGATCCAGAGCCAGCATTGCTGCTGCAGGAGCCACGGCAGGGCAAGGACGATGCCGCAGCCTGGCAGTGACTGGAGCCACAGCGAGTCCCGGGTGAGTGAGGGCATCAGGGGCTAGGGCCTGGGTTAGCTTGGGGCATTGGTGGTGGAGGGCCCTGCAGTCTTTTTTCCCACAGAAGGGGTCTCGGCCCCCTCGGCCCTGTAGGCTGATTCCCTGTGTCGTTCCCACAGCCGCTCACCCCCCCAGGCCCCAGGCTGGAGCCCCTCCCTCTGTAAGTGACCAGCCCTCCCAACAGGATAAGGGTCCTCAGACCCAGCACCCTGTCCCTGCCATCTGGGAGAGAGGGCGATGCCACCTGGGAGAGGCCCGGGCAGGTCCCAGAAATGGCAGGATGAATGTGTCTCTCACAGGCCTGGGGCTGTGGGGCAAGACCTGGGTTGACCTTGCAAAGGTCGGAGTGGGCCCTGGCTCCCACCCTAGCTCACGCTGGACCCTGGGCAGCTCCCTTTATGGCCGCCTTCAAAGATTCAGCACCAGGGACAGGTGGTTCTGAGCTAGCGGACCATTCCTGGTCGGAGGGCTCTAGCTTGAGGCAGTCTCAGGGTTTGCCGAAGGACAGCCCCTCTTCAGAGTCTTCTTCCTCTTTGGGGGCCTCTTTCTGAACTCGGGGAGTCTTTTTCACCCTGCCATCCAAACGTAGCCCCCCTCCTCTCTTTGTCACAATAGCTGGCAAATGGTTTGAGATGTCACCCCCTCCCTGACCTAGTAGGATGGACCGCTAGAAGACTGGCCCACAGGGAGGTCTCAGGTCCCATGTCAAGCAGGTGGGGAAAGAGGAGTGCTTCCACACAGGCAGCGTTACAGCCACTGTTGCTGGGTGGACATGGGCCAGGTAGAAACTGACCTACCCTTGGCCGAGCCTTTGGGTCTACAAAAAATGACTTGACAGGGGAGACTTCTGACCCCTAGTTTCACAAGTTGAAAGGAGGATAATTCAGCGTCCGCAGTTCAAGGCTAACTCCTGTGGGGCAAAGGTCAGATTGGCCTCCTCTGTCTAACCTTTGTCGTCAATTCGGACACCAACCGTCCACCCACAACGCTCTCTGCTTCACTGCCAGATCTGGAAATTCATTGCAATGGCCACCCAGAACTCACAGGCCACCTTCGCGAGGATGGGGCTTATTCAAGACGTCACTGGGTTGGGTAGGAAAGAGGGAACCGATTACAAGGAACTTTATGTGACCTCCTCCCTGGAGGACGGACAACCGAAAAGTGGGTGAAGGGAGACGTTGGACAGGGCAAGATATGAAAAAATAACAATTTATAAATTATCGGGGGTTCATGAGGGAGGGGTGAGCGGGGAGGGGGGGCAAAGTGAGAACCTATGCTGGGGGCTTAGGTGGAGAGGAGGTGTTTTGAGAATGATGAGGGCAATGAACGTACAAATGCGCTTTACACAATTGATGTGCGTAT